CCCCCAGAGTCTACTTTTAATTCCAATAAAAACCATTTCAGAAGACTTCCCATCCTTAGACCTCCTCCAGTTCATGTTAACTGCTGGTTTACATTGATCATTTCTGGTTACATATTTCATCACTCAGTACCAACTTCACCATGCAATGATTTCATTTTAGACAGTGTTTGGGGCTTTACATCAAGAATATCTTCCAATCCATTATTTCTAGGAATGTGTTACAGGGACAATGTCTGAGTAAGTTTGGGTGGTTGTTTTCACTAAAAAGATTATTTGGTGGGTATACTTACATTTTGAATTTCCTAACTCCTACTAAGAGCTCTGACTGAAAAATTTAAATCAGTGATCATGTTCATAGTTTCTCATCTAAATGCAGAAGTAAACACATTTTAATGTACATACAAATTACTTGTGCTACGTTTGGGAACTGTAAGCTCTTGGGTTTTACTGCCAGAGGTTCTGATTTAGTAGATCAAGGTAAGCTTGGTAATATGCAGTTTCCATGAACACTCCAAGCAAATCTGATATATGTGGTCATTAGAGCACACTCTGAGAGTCATACCTTGGTCACCTGATGTCTAATAAAGGTTTTGCAGTGAGCTTTTCCATCTTGATTATTCAGAGTTTCTCTCCCATGAATTTTTTCATGTTGAATAAGGGATGTAACATAACTGAAAACTTTCCCGCATTCGTTACATTCATAGGGTTTTTCTCCAGTATGAATTCTCTGATGCCTAGTAAGTTGACATCGCTGACTAAAGGCCTTTTCACAATGATTACATTCATAGGGTTTCTCGCCAGTGTGTGTCCTCTCGTGTTTTGTAAGAGTTGACCGATCATTAAAGGCTTTCCCACAGTCAATACATTCATAGGGCTTTTCTCCAGTATGTGTTCTCTGATGTTCAATAAGGCGTGACTTCTGACTGAAGGCTTTAAAACACATGTTACACTGATACGGCTTGTCTCCAATGTGTGTTCTTTGATGCACAATAAGGGGAGATCTCTGGCTGAAAGCTTTTCCACAATGACTACACTCATAAGGTTTCTCTCCAGTATGGGTTCGCTGGTGCACAACAAGCTGTGATCGCTGCCGAAAAGATTTCCCACAGTCATTACATTCGTATGGTTTCTCTCCAGAATGAATTCTCTGATGTGAAAGAAGGTGAGAGCTCCCAGCAAAGGCTTTCCCACACTGATTACATTCAAAAGGTTTCTCTCCAGTATGAGTTCTCTGATGCTCAATAAGGTGAGAGCTCCCAGTGAAAGCTTTATCACACTGATTGCATTTATATGGTTTCTCTCCAGTGTGAATTCGCAGATGCCTAATAAGCTGAGTGCTTCTAATGAAGGACTTTCCACACTGGTTACATTCATAGGGTTTCTCTCCAGTGTGAGTCCTTTTGTGTGCAACAAAGTCAGAACTTTGGCTGAAGGACTTTCCACAATGACCACACTCATAAGGTTTCTCTCCAGTATGAATTCTCTGGTGTACAATGAGGTTAGAGTTCCACCTGAAAGATTTTCCACATTCATGACATTTATATGGTTTTTCTCCGGTGTGAGTTCGCTGATGCCTAATAAGTTTGGAACTCTGGGTGAAGGATTTCCCACACTGGTTACATTCATAGGGCTTCTCTCCAGTGTGGGTTCTCTGGTGTACAACAAGGTCATAGCTCTGGCTGAAAGACTTCCCACACAGAGAACATTCATAGGGCTTTTCTCCAGTGTGTGTTCTCTGGTGTACAACAAGCTTAGAGCAACAGCTGAAAGATTTTCCACATTGATTACATGCATGTGGCTTCTTTCCAGTCTGAATGATGTCACAGTCAGTAAAGGATGACGCCTCATGGAAGGTATTACATTCCTCCTCACATCTAAATGGTGCTTCTTCAGGACCACTTATCACAGTTTGTACAAGGCATTTGTCACACTCATACTGGAGTTCTCTAAAATGCATTGGTTTGTGTTCATTCATAGACATGCTATGATTAATGATGTTTTTATAGTCTGTACAGTCATCGCTGCTCTCTGCTGAAAAAATTCTATTATGGTATTGAAGGGAGGTATCATAGTTGAAAGAGTCACTACTGACAGTATATTCATAAGGCTTTTTATTTCTCATTTCAACATTTGTAAATTTATTCAAGGAAATGCTCTGATAGAAGGCGCTAGGACTTTGGTGATTTTCATGGGGCTTCAGATCAGCCCAGCCTTTCTCATGATTAATGAAAACTGAATTCTGTTTCAATTTTTTAACCTGTGACTCAAGTGTATGGAAATGTGCTCTTGTGGGTAATGTTGGAGGTAGAAGTCTTAAATTCAGGTAACTTCCCCCAAGGTCAGGCTCACAATGTTTCCCGTGAGCAAACGGTCTTTCTGGGGTGAGTATCGTTTGACTCAAAGGGTCTTCCTCGTGCTCCCTTAGCTGGTCCCTCCAATCCTGCCTTCCTCCCAATGTTACCAACCAGGGGCCCTCCTCCTGTATGCAGCATTTCATTTCTGTGTTGTGGAATGGTTCTTCCACAGCAGTATCCTCTTTAGAAGCTGACTCTTCCTTTTCAAGTGTATTCTTCCAGTCTGAAAGAAATCCAAAATACTGAATTACTGGATATGTATTAGAGGGAGAGGATGGGATGAAGGAGACCCACCTAGTATAAGAGGTGTCTCTGGGTTTGTTTCTAACCCATGGATTGTAATTTCATGCAGGATGTGGGGGGGGAAAAGATGGATCAGCAAACAGGAAATCAGTGATAAAGTATAAAAAACAAGCAAAGATACTGGGGGACTGGTCCCCAAAGAAGGAGCAGAGAAATAAGAATAAGCAGGGGAGGGTAAAGAATAAAGGAGAAATCCACAAAAAGAATCGGGGTGGGGGGGGGGTCTGAAGGTATACAGCCCCCAATAACCACAAAAGATACCTACGTTCTAATTGCTGGAACCTGTGAATATGGTACCTGGTTGGGAAAAAGGGTCTTTGCAGATGTGTAAGTTAAGGAACTTGAGATAGGGAGAGTATCTGTGTGGGCCCTAAATGTCACCAGGAGTGTCCTTATAAAAGGGAGGTAGAGAGAGATTTGACACACACAGAGAAGGTGATATGAACACGGAACAAAGAGATTTAGAGATGCTGGCCTTAAAGACTGAAGTGATTTGGGCACAAACCAAGGAATGCTGCAGCCACCAGAAGTGGGAAGAAACAAGGAACAGATTTCCTTCTGGACCCTTCCAAGGGAGCATGACTCTGCTGCCATGGTATTGATTTCAGGTTTCTGGCCTCCAAAACTAGAAGAATCAATTTGTGTTGTTTTAACCCACCCAACTGGTAATATTACAGCAGCCATGGGAAATTAATACAGGGGCCTATCTGGTGCCTCAATCTAGATTATTGATCCAGAATCTTACTCTATTTATTTTCTGGTTCTGGATCTTGAAACAGGATCCCAAACATCAACACTGAGTTAATATTCCTAACACACTATTTCTATTGTTTCTTCAGGCTACCCACAGAAAAAAAGACTCTTTCACCACTCCATAGTCAATGCCACCGACACCCCAGAAAAGCACTATCGTCCTTGAAACAGTGTGGTTGGCCAGGCTGGGTTGCAACTGGGCTTCACTAACCAGCAACTTCTGAAGCTCATTCTCCTCGGTGGTAAGCCAGGAATAAAAATCCTTAGCTTACAGGGTTTGATGCACAAATGAACTGATCTGTGAGTCCTACATGGTGCCTGGCACAGAGTGCACTGTTAGTTCATGGTACCATTGATATCATCACCCCTGATTGTCCTAACAAGCTTTCCTCCCTCTGTTGAAATAGTGGGCCTCTAACAAGTGCTATAGGTTCCCAGCTCAGGACCCTTGCCTGAGTTCTCCAAGATTCCCCCTTTACGTGTCACTCTTCCTATTTCAGGTGTATAGCTGCCCACATTTAGTACTATCAAGGCCTCTGCTCAAGTCCCCATGCTTCACTCTCCATGTCTGCCATGGAGACAGGGATCCTCCATTTGGCAAAATGTTAACTATACTCTGTGGCCCTCCTTTAACTCCAGGAGGACATTTCCGACTTGGACAAAGTCCTTATCTAAGCTCAACACCCTCCACGAGCAATGCTGTTCTCCTTCCCAAGACTCTGTTGTGTTCCCTTGTGATGTTGCCTTGGAATCCCTAATGATCAGAACTTTTTCAAATGAAACAATGAAGGGGAGTGAAAAGGTATTTGGGGACGAGAAGGAGGAAAGAAGTCTTTGGGTGGCTAAAGGTGTCTAAATTGTGTCTGGTCATTGGGAACTGGGCAAAGGAGGTCAGACATTTTTCAGCAGTGTCTCCATTAAGATTTCAAAATGAGGAAAACAGAGATAGTGATGTCTATGACTGATGAGAATAAAGATGCTGCCCATAAACTGAATTCAGGATGGCATCATGAGAATGACCAAGAACAAGTAAAAGTGGGTGACGCTTCAGAGGGAAAAATAACAATAATAGAGGCTGCAAGTGCGAGTTATAGGGTAAGAAGCAACAAGAGCACATAAGATAAACTCAATGCCTCTGGCTAGGGGAACACAGAAGGCAGTGTGAAGGTCGAAGATGGTGTGAAGGATACACATGATGCTTCCTGCTAACTGAAAGCAGCCAGTTAAGAAAGGCCATGTACTGCAGGATTCCAACTATAGGACATACTAAAAAAGGTAAAACCAGAGAGAGTAAAACAACCAGTGGTTTCTAGGAGTTAGGGTGGAGGGAGGAAGGAACAGGTGGAGCAGAGAGGATATTTAGGGCAGTGGAATTATTTTGCATGATACTATGATAGATATATGGCATCATACATTTGCCCAAACCCATACAGTGTACAACACCAAGAGTGAACCTGATGTAAACTATTGATCTCTATTGGTAATAATGGGTTAATACAGCTTCACCCATTGTTTTCTTTTTAGAGAGAGAGAGAGCACACACGTGCATGCATGCAGCGTACACACCCGTGAATGGGGGAGGTGCAAAGAGAGGGAGAGCCTAAGCAGGCTCCGTGCCCAGTGTGGACTGTGGGACCATGACCTGAGCTGAAATAAACAGCTGGACACTCAACCGACTGAGCCACCCAGGCGCCCCATACAGCTTCACCCATTGTAACGAAAGTACCACAGCATATAAAATATTAATAACAGAGGAAACTGTGTGTGTGTGGTGGGGGAGGGAAGGGTGAAATATGGGAACTCTGTACTTTCTGCCCAACTTTCTGTAAACATAAAACTGCTCTAATAAATAAAATCTATTAATTAAAACAGAACAGCAACAAAAATCAGAAGCAGCCTAATTAGTTAGGATGATGCACATATGTATTCTAAATTGATCGTAGAAATGGATGCACATTCTGTGAATATACTAAAATCCTCTGCATACTTTAAATTAGTGCGTTGTATGGTATGTGCATTGTATCTGACACAGCTATTAAAAAAAAGAGAGTTCCAACCAGGCTGCCACACTGGGATGTATCAGGAAGTGGATGAGAAGAGGTGGGAAAATAAGTCCAGGAACTGATTTAGTAGAAATCCTTCTGGAAGAAGTAGGTCGTTGCCACTTCCCAGGATGCACAAGTTCTCACCATACCTCTGGATCATCTAGTAGTTATGGGAATGTCCAACATGGAGGAGGGATGGACACCCAACTACAGGGTAAAGACCAGGCCTGAAGGAGAAGTCTGAGGAGTCGCTGCCTTGGGTGGAAGTCAGGACGAAGGACTCAAGGAAAAGGGGGCACAAGGAGCTGGGAGTAGATGAAGCAAGCAGCTAAGGGATGAAGACCAAGGGAAGATGGGAACAGAAAAGAACCTGTACATAAGAAATGTCAGGACAACAATGATGTGTTTTTCATGGACTGGGGATGGAGGGATGGGTTGATGTGGCTGAGAATGAGGCTTTTTGGATGCCTGAGGAAGCTCCCTGCTCCTCCTCCCCTCCTAGGACCCAGGGTCCTGGGGAGAGCTCTCTGGCCCCCTTAACTCACCAGGCCTCTGATTTCCTCTCACCTCTGGGAGGTCCATGCTCTGCCCTCCATGGGTCTTGTCCTTGCTCCAGCCAGCAGATCACAGCTGGTTTCGAAAGCAGAAGCCCTGGTCATTGGGGGGAAAACAAAGGACTTTGTGCTCTGTTTGAGGAAGAGGAGAACTATGTCCTCTAGCCCAGCCCTTAGTCCTGGGGTTAGATGTGGATGGACTAGGAAGGCCCTGCACATCCCGAAAAAACTCCCAGCAAAACTCTTGGCTCCTTAGAGGCAGAAAAGTGGCAATATCCGGGATCTGCATCTCAAAGGAACCCATTTCTAGAATGTTCTGGCCCAGCCCAGGCATACCCTTAAGAGCCAGAGCTTTGAGTCCCTGAAGCAGAACACTGCTGTGATGGGCGGAGCCTATCTTACCCAGGAAGGCTAGGTGGCTGCAGGTCTCCAGAGTCACGTTGCGGTACAGCGTCCTCTGGGCTGGATCCAGCTGTCCCCACTCCTCCCGCGTGAAGGTCACAGCCACATCCTTGAAGCTCACAGGTGGCTGAAACATCACCTGTATCATCATACATTGTGGACGCTGGGTAGGGGGGATGGGGCAGCATGGGGAGGGAGAGGACGTGGGCCGAGGATGACCCCCATGAGCACTCATGGGGTTCCCACCTTTGGGACCAAACCCAGACCCAGGCCCATGGTGTTTTCATTTCTCTCTGAGTGTCTCATCTACCCCTGGTCACACTGGTGCTTCTGATTTCCTGTACTGGGAAACAACAGGAATCCCACTCAGACATCCCATCTCTCACTTCTCTACAAAGTCACAAATTTGAAGCCAAAGAGGAGGTTCTAAATCAGGGGTCTGCAAACTTTGGCCTGCAGGACAAATAAGGGCTATGGCATGTTTCTTATAAGGCTAATGCTATGAGCTGCATTGTTTCCCCCCAAATTCACATGTTGAGGGCCTACCCCCCAAAGCGACAGGGACTTTACCCAGAAGTAATTAAGGCTAATGTAGGTCATGAGGGCAGGGCTCTAGTGTGATGAGATTGGTGTCCTCATAAGAGGAAGCAGGGACACCAGAGGCCTCTCTCCCTACCACGTGAGGACACAGAGGAGGTGCCACCAGCAAGCCAGAAAGACAGTCCTCACCAGAAAGCAACGCTGTTGACACCTTGATCTTGGATTTCCAGGTTGCAGAACTATGAGAAAATAAACGTCTTGCTTACTCCACCCAGCCTGTGGTATTTCATTATAGCAGCACGAACGGACTAATATAGCTAAGAATGGATTTTTACATTTTTAAATCCATTTTTCACCATGTGTGAAAAGGATGGGACAAAGGTTGTATGTGGTCCACAGAGCCTAAAATAGTTCCTACCTGGCCCTTTATAGAGAGTGCTAGGTGAAGCCTACTTTCAAGGAAGGCCGCCAGCAGGCAAAAAGCCATGTGTCCTGGCCTCGGGGGCCAGGCCTGAGGTAGCATCTCAGCTTCATGACTCACTTGAGGAACACCTGGACATGTCCCTGAACTCCTCTGGCTTGAGCTGCTGTCCCTCATGAAGACAGTCTCCCGCATCAGGAAGTCTCACAGGACGTGAGGGGCAGTGACCCCCAGGCACCCAGTAAGCACACAGATAATGGGTGTGGTGATGGGACCCTGAACAAGGTCAGGGACCTGCTCCTCACCCCACTGTGTGCTGCACTGTGAGCCATCTAAGGGCGACTATGGCACTTTAAGGGGACACTCTCAGTGGCCCTCCTGAGTAGTCTCAGTGAGGGTCAAGGGCCCAGTGTGGCTAAATGGGGTATGGAGGCCTAGTTCTGCCCATCCTTGATAACTTGCTGAGCAGCCGTCACAAACAGTCTGAGCCACAGGGCACCAGCTGTCCCAGGAGACCAGGTGTGGAAGCCTCATGCTGGGTCTGATCCTAGAAGCTCCTGGCTTATCCATACAGGGAAGGTGCTTTATCTGCAAAGAGCCCTTGGCTTTCACATGAAGGCTAAGGACAACATTACAGTGCTCTTATGGGCTGGCCTGAGGAGCTGGGTGCTAGTCCTGGACCCATTTTGCACCTGAGGAGACTGAGGCAAAGAGAGAAAAGGTCCCTAACTCACCTGGGATGGGACTGGCTGAGAATGTGCTTCCATTTCCTCCTCATACCTGAAGAAGCTGTTGTGGAGAGGGCAGGGATCCTCAGAAGGCAGGGCTGGCGAAAGAGGGAGCAATTAGCAATTCAGCCCCTCCTCAGTAAGCCCATGGGACAGAAACCACCCACAACCCCAACAAAGGAGAGGCCTGCCAATGCCATCTGAGGAACATCCCCCTGGGGTTTGAGTAGCTGGGAGATAGGGCTCTGAACAGTTTCCTAAAAGTCCAAGGCTCTGAGGTCAGCTCTGGCAGCCAAGCCAGCTTTCCAGATGTGGAGTGGGCCAGCCAGCCCAGGTCCGAGCCTAGGGATGGACATGGGCTGCCCTAGGCTCAAGGTAAATACCCAGTCACATGCTGGTGTGTCTGAACTGTGACCCCACAGATACACAGCCATCCCTAGACACCTAAGTAAAGGACTGGCCAGTTTCTCCTGTCATTTCAAGAGACTAAATCGGAGGAGACAGAAGCAGAGTGTTAAGACAATTGTACGATTTTAAGATACCTCAATGAAACATCAGCTAATTTCCCATGAAAACTGCACAATTTTTGAATACCAGTGACACATGAACTGGCTTCAAAAAGAAAAAAAGACTCACAATTTTAAAATATCACAATAAAACATCAGCTGGTTTCCAAAAATGGGGGTAAGGGGAATGGGGACAAGGAGGATAAAAATCCCCAGGAGGACAACTAAGGGCTCTGTAGGGGGTGTCACCCCGGGTATGTGCTCCCCCAAGCTACTCTGGAGGTGCAGGACACTGCCCCCACGTGGGGTGTGCCCATCACCTGCTGCTTTACTTGTTCGCCATTGCTTCCCATACCCTACTTGTCTAATAGCTTGGCTGCAGGCATGTGACTGTCCCACTGAGACAGCCGGGTGAGAATCCCATGAAATATGGCCACCAAACCTTCCCCATATTTGGCTCCTGCTCACCCACTTGCACCAGAAGCACACCCACACCTGTGTACGCCCACATACCAACTCTCGTCACTGGTCATTTGGGATGACCCAACATTCCAGAAATATATGCTGCATTTGTGTGTCTGTTCACATGGAGCTCCTGCTCATTCCGCCAGATGGCACCTTTCATTTGCATGGTGCCATCCAGGTCACAAAGAACCTTGAACCCTCATCCCCTTGAAACTCAGAACAGCTACCATCTGGGCTGGAGGCCCACGGAGACTCGGGACTCTCATTCATTGCTTCCGGGAGGCAGATGCTCACTCTTCTCCAAGGATTGAATGCTAGCATTTTTCTTGTTCTACTTTCTCTGTAAAACCATTTCCCCAGAGAATCAAAAAGCACTCACATATTGGGGAAATCGTGCTCTCCCCATGCTTCACACTTGTGGCAGTTCTCACCTCTGCCTTCAAATGTCCGGATAGTCTCCTCTACCAGTGTCATCTCCTCTTCGAGCTTTTCCAGGTGCTGGGTTTCTCATAGGTCCTGAGCTCCGCGGAGAGTATGCTGGGGGCAGCCCCTAGCCACAGTCAGCAGGAGCACGGTGGTTGCAGATGGGCCAGGACCTCAGCACCTGCAACTGCTGGAGCCACAAAGGCACCAGAGGCAGCTTCCCACTGTTCTCCCACTTCCAAGACAGTCTCTTTCGAGAATTCTGCTGATTCCAATGCAGCGAGGTCTGAGAACTCCTTTTCTGAGCTTAATTCTGCAGACACTCTCTTCTGGTCATCACCTTCGTGGTGGGTCCCAATCTCTCTCACAGAGACCTCATATTCTTCAGGCAAATAGAGCACCCAAGTCCTCTGAGAATTGCTGTAAAAAGGGGAGAGTGCTGAGCAACAAATTCAATACTGAAGCGGAAGATGATGGCTTCAAAACGCAGGGCTGTGTCTGACCTTGGCGCTCAGGCCAGTACAGATAAGGCAGCAATAAACATGCAAGAAACAGAATACCAGAATGTTTTGAATAGCTGTCAAATAAGAAATTTTAGAGGAAAACCATTTATATCCTACTAAAAAACGTTAAAGTCAGAACATAAGTCTGTGACAAAAACTTCAACTTTCAACTTTAGAGCTGGTGTGAGTACGCATTTACCTGACTCCCAGAACAACCCCCACCCCAAGAAGGCAAAAGTTCCATCCATCCATAACAATGCTGGAATGGCCACACCGTCCACAGCACACCTAACATACTGTGTGCATAACAGGTTGTGTAACTCAGCAGGCCTAGATTATCCATGACTCGCACGTTTCAAAGAAAGGCCTGTTCCCTGACCAGCTAGCTGCTGGGAGGTAACCTCTGAGCTCTTAGGGATATCCTACCTGATAAATTGTCTCTGTTTACTTGGGGACACCGTACACAGTGTGCATCAGGCTCAACTAAAGGACCAGGCCATGAAAAGAACCCCATCTCCAGGAAGTGTGAGAAAGTTGGCCCTTTCTGCACAGCTGTGGTTCTCAACTGGGAGCAGGGGTGCCCTCAAGGGACATCTGGCAATATCTGAAGACACGTGGTTGTCACAGCTTGTAGAGGGTGGGCAGAGGTGAGAGGGGGACTAAACATTTCCCCCACCTGAGGACGACTCGGCCTCCAATGTCAACAGTGCCAAGATTTCCTAGCCTGGAAATGATTAACTCTCTGGTCTTCACATGTGTACTGAGAATCTGAGAATGATGCTTCAAGTCCTTTCTTTGTTTCTTTGTTTCTTTCTTTCTTTTTGGAGAAAGCAAATGAGCTGGGGGTAGAGGGAGAGAGGAAGAAAGAGAGAGAGAGGGAGGGAGAATCTCAAGCAGGTTCCATGTTCAGCAAAGAGCCTGAAATGGGGTTCAATCACACAACCCTGGGATCATGACCTGAGCCAAAATCAAGAGTCAGACACCCAACTGAGTCACCTAGGTGCCCCTGAAGTCCTTCCTGACCCCTCCTTCACACTCACCTATCACATTCAGTTGGTCACAAAGACCTAGGGTCCCCCACATTTCAAATATGCACCTCTCCACACCCTTGGTTCCCAATGTCTGGCCTATTGCTTTTTGATTGAGTTACTGAAGAAGATCTGACTGGGTCCTATCTCCTGTCCTTCCCCCTTTCTCCCAGGAAGCCACAGAGGCCATAGTAGAATGCAGCTTCTGTCACTGTGTGGCAGTTTCCCACTGTCTTCAGGTTCAAGTTCCTCCACAAGCTCTGGAAGTTCCTTTCTGTATTAAAAGTACACGTGATGGGGTACCTGGGTGGCTCAGTCGGTTAAGCATCCGACCTCAGCTCAGGT